AATAAACTAGTCAAAAGGGCCACGAGTTCCCATTTTACAAGTTTGAGGGTTAAAAGTTGACTACAAATAGTTAGATGGCTTAATTTTACCTAAACTAAAAGTTCAAAGGTAAAATGGATATATACATATATATGAATTTATTTTTACATTTATTTGAGCTTGGTAAGGCTCAAACTTTAACTCACCTAGATTTGAACTTGAGTTAATAGTTATACTGAAAGTTATATCAATTTCGAACTCGAGTTCTATATATGGTAAAATTAAGTCAAATTTGGCACGGCAAACCTCATAATCTATGGGACGTGCTTGAAGCCGTACATATGACTCAACCATTAGTACACGCATTACTTTTTTTTTTTTTCAATTTTTTTCCTTCCTTAACCATTAGGGCATCTACAATGGATTATATTTGGAAGAAGATAATTTATATGTTGTATTATCACTTTATTATCCCGTTTTCTATTATGCTATCACTCACTATAAATTACACTCTACATCACGGTATAATAGCATGGACCAACAATCAAATCACACATTTATTTTAATAATTCTCAATACAAATCCCATAAATACAAATAAATTTATTTTCTAAAAAATAATTTCATTATTGTTCAAATATAATTTATTGACTTTCATTGAAAATTTTCCATTTCAAATTTTTTTACTTTCTAAAAAAATAATTTTATTAATTTTTGAAAAATAATATATATTTTTATGGCTCTCAAAAATAAATACATTGTTATTTTCTAAAAATAATTCAGTAATTATTAAACAAATACCCAACAATATTTATAGACAAAATTTTGAGGATTGAAAGTGAAAAAAAATATAGTTGCAAACTGGTGAAATTGAAACAATGCTGTCATTATTTTACCATTGTAAACATGTTGAGAATTATATTCAAGGGACAGTTGCAAAATTTTGAATAATTGAACAAAATGGGACCATTGCAAAGTATTGAATAATTGGATAAATGGGACTCACTCTTTTCAGCTTTTGTGCTTCAATTATGTGTGTAGTGTGCATTATATGAGCGCTGTTAGACTCAGATTGAACCCATTGATTTGAATAGTCTGACTATGAATCGACTTTCTTTTCAAGTTGGTTAGTAGTATAAAACCATTTTGATAAAAATCAGTCAAAACAGTAAAACATCGACCAGATCAATGACCCAGTTTGATTGCTTGACTCAGTTTACAAGCTTTTCTTTCTTGTTTTTTCCAAACATAATGTGAGTTACCTAAATTGTAAAATATTTATTTATTAATAGAATTAAAAAATGCCATCCATTTAGTATAAATACCAAAATCACTCACACCGCTAAATGATCTCTAAACCAAAAAGTTTTCATCCCTATCATTTTATCAATTTATCTTCAGTGATTCCAACTTGCATTAGAAAGCAATATTCCCAATAAAAAGATCTCAAATTGACTATGATTTATTCTAATTTAGTTTTTCAAATAGTTTTGGAGAATAAACATATATTAGACATGAATTCACATTTTTATATATAATTTTTAGATGTATATTTGATTGCAAGCCTAATATTTTTGGAACATTTTGTATGATTGACCGAAATATAATCAAGAATTCAATTTCAATATTTTTGGAAATTATGAAATATAAAATAATTATGACATCATACTGACGTCATCAATTTTTTTAGAACGGTCTGACCGATCCAACCAATTAAACTCTGATTCAATAGTTTAGTCGAATTAGTATTCGGGTTGAGTTTAACAACATTGATTATACTCCCACTATAATCACCGAGTTTTGGCTTAGTGGCCACAAAAAAGGGATTAAGTCATTCTTTGGATTGTAGGTCGGAGATTCGAATCCACCTGCTGTGAAAAAATTTAAAGAAGGTGTTAGAGTACCTTTTTAATTTAGTTGGGTCTGCTCGCCCCTTATACATTTTCTTTAGACTCTTCTTCTTGTAGAATATGATAGATTATATTATATGAATGTTATTGTTGTGATAAAAAAAAATGATTGTACTCCCATTATAGGAGAGTACAATGCATAGGTGTCATAAAGGGTGGGTGGGCTCATTGTGTACAATGCATAGGAGTCATAGATTGTACACCCTTCATGACACCTCATTGTAGATGCCCTTAGACCAAAGCCACGATGCACACATTACCTAATTTTCCTTTCCAACGGATAATCCAAATTGTACCTTTTTTATTAATTACACCTTCCATCCCATTTTGATAGTTCTGTTTTTTCTTTTTCGTCTGTCTCAAATTGTAGTTTACTTTCTAATTGAAAAATGTAGTTATTTGTTAATTTTTCTAAAATACTCTTATTCAATATAAATTGTTATTAGTATAAACTAATTTATTTAATATATATTGTTATTAGATATAACCTAGCTCATTTAAAACATTTAGATTTTCCTAAGCATATTGATATGTGAATGAGAATTGATTCTTTTTAGGTTAATTACATTTACCTCTCCTGAGGTTTGACCATATTACCAATCAATCCCTATAATTTGTTCAAATAACGGTCTCACCCTTTGAATGATCAAACATTTAACAAAAACCCCCTTAATGCCGAAAATGCCCTTGTTGAGGTCATGTTGCATTAAAAAAAAACATATTTTTATTTTATTAACCCTGAAGCAATCCAAAAAAATAGAAAAAAATTTTTGCTTATTATTTTATAAAAATCATATCTTTGCTTCCATAAATAGTTTTGAGTCAATAATTATTTTAAATCTTAAAAATGAATATTAAAAAATAGATAAATTGAAAAAAAAATAAAAAAAGAAGAAATTATTTTAATTCCTGAAGTATGGTTCAAATTGAGGAAAACGTGCCTTGTGCTCTCCGCAACATGCCTTGAACCACAAATTCGAACCATACTTGAGATTTAAAATAATTGCTTCTTTTTTATTTTTCTTTCAATTTATCCAATTTTTAATATTCATTTTTAAGATTTAAAATAATTATTGATTCAAAACTATTTATTAGGGGTGGCAATTTTTGACATGACACGAATCTAACACGAAATTAATGAGTTTGGGTTGAGATTTCGGGAATTCGGGTCAGAATCGGGTTGGACCCGATGAACCCGAAAAGAAAACAGATCGATTTCGAATCAACCCGTGGTGACCTGATATGACCCGATATGACTCGTTTACGAATTAAAAAATAATTTAATAAACATAAAAATAATTCTATCTAACTAAACTAAGTTATTCTTTTTTTCAAAGGCATTAATTATTTAATCCTAAATGAATTTATTTAATTTGTGTGAAGTTGAAATTATTATATTTGGACAAATAATATATTATATTATTTTTTATTTTTATACTGTTTTAATTTATTTTATATTTTGTTTGGGATAAACACTTTTATGGTGTTTAATTTATTTTAGATTTGGTTTGGTATTAGTTATTTAAAATTTTATTATTTGATTATGTAATTAGTTTTGTGAGAAATTTATTTTATTAGAAATTACAGTGATAAATTAATAAATTAAAATTAAGTTTCGGGTCGACTCGCCAACCCGTCAACCTGAAATTTTCGGGTTCGTGTCAGCATACCTGACCCGTCACGGGTTGGCGGGTCGGGGTCGGGTCAACAGATTTTCTGACGGGTTGACCCGAACCGACCCGCCAACCTGATATGGACCCGAATTGCCACCCATACTATTTATGGACGCAAAGATATGATTTTTATAAAATAATAAGCAAAAACTTTTTGATGATTTTTTTGGATTATTTGAAAGTTAATAAATAAAAATATGTTCTTTTTTTAATGCAATATGGCCTCAAAAAAGGCATTTTCGGCATTAAGGGGGTTTTTGTTAAATGTTTGATCATTCAAAGGGTGAGACCGTTACTAGGACAAATTACAGGGATTGAATGGTAATATGGTCAAATCTCAGGGGAGGTAAATGTAATTAACCCATTCTTTTTTGACCATCAATTCAAATTTTTATAAACCATCAATTCAAGTTTCTATGAATAATTAATATAAAGTTGTACTGAATTTAATGTAAGAGTATTTTAGAAAAGAGATAATATCAGAAACCTCCCTTGAGGTTTCTCTTAATATCACTTAGCACCCTTGAGGTTTTAGAAATATCATTTACCTCCCCTAATAATTGTAAAAAGACTATATTAACCCTCACTTAACACATAATTTACAACATATTAAATAAATGAAACTCAAAATTTTAAAAAAAATGGAAGTCACTTTCTTCTTTTTTCCTTTTCTCCATCATTCTCTCTTACTTATATTTTTTGAATGAATATGCAATATTATATTATAAATTATATCAAATTAAATTTTATTTATCTTTTACTTTTTGTGATTGTGATAAAGTAGGGTACTATTTATTTGCTTATTTTGAGTTGATTTTTATAATAATTGGTATAATTTACTGGTTTGAGCAAGGGTTAAGAAGATGGTGGAAAAAATATAAATTCATAAGAAATCGATTTTGAGCATATCGAATTAAATTGATACAAATGTATTTCTTTTCAAATATCATTTTTATTTTTCAAATTTATAATTTTATGGGGTATAGCGTTGTGATGTAGTAGTACTACAAGAGATTGCTTTTGAAGTGATGGTTTTCTTGAAGTGAACAAAGTGACTTAGGAACATTTTTATTTAATAAGTGAAAGGGTAGTTTAGGGTTTTCAAACATTTTGTTACACAAATAACTAAAGTAAGGGAGGTAAGTGATATTTTTGAAACTTTAAGAGTATTAGGTGATATTAAGAGAAATCTAAAGGGAGGTTTCTGATATTATTTCTTTAGAAAAAATAGTAAGGTAAATTTATTTTTTAATAAAATTAACTATTTTTTTTAAATTATATAAAAAAATTAAGACTGTTAAAATGGGACAACGGGAATATATAAGACATGCAACCAAACCACGTTAAAAAACTAAACTAAATAAATGGTGGACAGACTGGAATACTTAAAACACGAGGCGTTTGTTTATGCCACATTCGGCGTTTGATAATACCAAAGCGAAAACAAAAAGTTCAAGACTTCCTAGAAGAAATGGCGGATTTTCCCACAACGTCTAGCTTACTGCAAATGGGGAAGTTTTGTCTTCCTCATTTGGCTTTCTCCTATTCAACCGTCCCATCATATTGCTGCTTCTCTGTATCTCCTGCTGGATAGATATGCATTTTTCTGGTTTTGGCGCTAACATTTGGCACTTCTACCCAACAAGGCCAACATGAAGTCTTCTTCCGCTTCAATGGCTGCCAACCGTCAACAGGTGGGACTGAATTCCAGAACCCATCTTCAGTTTTCTCTGGTTTTTATGTTTATGTATGATAACAGTAATTTACTGGATTATGAATGTTGCGTGGATGATTATTATTAGTTCTTGCAGAATGTCATATTTTTCAAGTTAAAGTACTTGTTCTACATAACGTAATAGCGAAATGAAATGGGCTGTTTTCAATTTACTTGTAGAGTCCATCTTAGCATAACTGCTGAATCGATAATTCTTTTTTGATTGAGTGGCAAGATTGGTGAAGTGGTTTGAAAGAGTAACTGGACGAGTTTTAAGGATTTTTGGGATTGTCACATAATTAAATATTGGGCAAGCAGAGATTATCTCTTGGTCTGTTTTCAGCCCTGGCTCCTTGTAGATGAGAAAAAGGAGGAATAAAATGAAATGGCAAGATCGGATACACCGGGCTCATACTTTTGCAAATAGTTGTGCAATCCAATATGCAAAAGGAAATCTCCTGAGCTAGGCTTCCTTACATTTTTTTTATTTCTTGGTCAGAAATGAAATAATATGATTTGTTGTGACTAACAGCAAGCACTAAGTGATCTTAAGAACCATGAAGTTTTTGCTATCTTACTCTTCTCGTCTGAGTTATCTTGGTATTACTAAATTCAACTTTCAAAAAACTACACAGATAAGTGTAGTACCAGCAGAAAGAAAGAGAAAGATTGAAGTAAAGATGGGAGCAGTAAGAAGAGGCAGAGAACTAGATTGGAGAAAACTGACAATCTGATAGAATGGAAGGAATAACCCATAGGAAGACCTAAACCTCTTGTTGAGAACTGAGGAAGAATTAGATTAAATATGTTTTCAACAGCAAAAACAACCAGTGTTCAAACTAACCCAGCAATTTACAGGCAAGGAACATTATTTTGCAAAACTACTGTTTACCATGCCTCAGAAATGAAGAGACAACTAATCATCCATTTCAATGCATTGTGAAGTTGCAAGTGAGCTGGACAACCCTCTTTACCATGGTTTTTTCTGCACCGGCTATGCCAGAGAGCGTGAAGATTCTTCTGTTGATTTGGTGATACTGAAGCAGAAAAAAGAAAAAAGGGACTCCCAATTGGGACTCTGCTTTGCAAAGATGAGCAATAGGGCTTTTGACAGAAGTTAGAGGATCATTGAATTACTAAAATTTAGTCTCTCGAAGACAACACTCTTTACTTTTGGATACATGAATAACATGCATATAATTCCCATCTTTTGCTGACTTCTTATATCAGAGTCATAGGTGTCTTAATAGTTTGTGCTAAATTATCAATCTGGCCTGCACCACCTAGGTGCCTCCTCTTAAAGTTTTACCTTTTCATCTTTCTGTAGTGACTTGTGCCTATATAGGTACTATACCATTGCTATATGCCATTATATAATGTCAAACCAAATACAAAACTGCTCCTTGAGTATCTGTTGAAGTTCCTCTATTAGTTGAAGCTTTTTGCCTCCTGTTTGTGGGTTTTGGATAGGTCAGGTAATAATCAGACCAATGAGCCACTGCAGAAAAATTTGAAGTCCTCCTATTTCTTTGGAAGTTTTGTCATCTGGCGCTATTCCATGGGCTATAAATCTTTACTTCGATACTTTATTCAATAGTCCTTCATTTGACTGTTCATTCTGAGTCCACATTACTGTCCTTCATTTGACTGTTCATTCTGAGTCCCCATTACTATTCCTGCTTAGCTTGATACTAGCTGCTACAGAAAATCTCTATTTATTAATTTATTTTGCTGGCCTAGTACTTAAATTGGCAGTTTTTTATGATTCACTTTTCTTGACGTAGAGCTGACATGATTTCACAAGTCTAATAACTTTGTTCTTCTACTTAGTCATCTGTTAAATGTTTACTGTCAGGAAACATATATTCGTGCTCGGGATAATCCTTTCTTTGATGGTATGAGAAGACGAGAGGCAGCAATAATGGATAAAGGTAGTAATTTTAATTTGAATGAGAAGATTGCAGGTGAAAGCATGATGCGTACTGCTTCAGATGTTAGTTCCAGAAGATCTAGAAAGATCACAAGTGAAGTACTAGAAAATCCTTCTAGCCCATTAAAAACTTCACCCTCAGATATTATTCTAGAACATTATGGTCGATCGGCTTCCAGTACATGGTCAAGGATTTCTGATGCTACTTCATCTCCATTGTCAGAACACCAGTCGGCACTGAAGTTCAGAGTTGAGGATGTAAATGAGTCACAGAAAGAGCGCCCTCCAAAGTCTAGTCTAGCAAATGAAGTGACTCAAACTCTGGCACTTACAAAGCCCATGATCGAACAATCATACAGCGTGAACAAGGATAGAACAAATCTCTCTAAAGTTCCACTTCCTCCATCAGCAGCATTATTTTACAATGGGTATTCACCACAAATGGAAGTTGTTGAATCATGTCAAAGTATATACAAGCTAAATATGTATCTAAGAGCTCGAAAAGATGATGTCAATGCTGGTGTGCCAGGAAGGTTCTTGCATGCTGTAATAGGACCTGACATCTGTGGTAAGTAGTATGCTTCCAACAAAGATTAGATTCCAGAATTCTCTTTTACAACGCGCACCTTATACTTTTGCCACAACCATGAAGAATTGGCTATAACAATGAATTCTTGTTCACCTCTATAATAACTTTGGCCTTGAAGTGTATTTGATAATTGTAGCTTTACACAGAATGGTGATCATACTTTGTTTTAAAAGATATTGCAAAACCATTATTTTCAGTTGAGTGTATATCATATTGTCAATACCAGGACTTTTTAGCCTTGTATAGAATCATCACTTCATCTAATTGATATACTTAAGCGTACACCTTCCGGTAGTGGCCAGGTGATCTTTAATGAACTAGGACATGGAAGAATTAGAATTAAGCGGTTAAAAAAACTCAAAATAACGATATGTGTCTATCTGATAAATGTTGAACATTTCCCCATCCAAATGTTAGGACTTAGTAGCCAGAGTAACTTATTTCTTTGTACATACAATTTTAACGTGTTCTTTTGAAGCTTGTGGATAATTTGAATTTTATAAAGTTTGAACTCAGGAACTTAATCTGCGTGATTGAAGATATTTTCTGATATACCTATGACGTTCAATAAAGTTATTAAAGAAATACTTCAGAGAGTTATGTGATCCTATTTCCAAAGTCTAATCAGAGGAACTACACAAATAGGGAAATAATTAAATAGCCACTTTGTTGTTCGTAAGTGCTTCATGAACCAATTACCTTGTTAACTGGTACTAGTTGAACATCTCTCTAATTTAGAAAAGTTACTACAAGCAGATGTTGGTTCTGTTGCTACAACAATCATGTATGCCTTTTACCTGAATGAATCGTTACAGAACAAACTGTTCTGCACTGTGCCTATAATCAACATGACAAGGGTAGACATGGAATCTCGAGCTGAGCTGAAATGGCTGCTTGATGCATGCCATGTAGATCAGTCATCACTGGTGTTTCTTGATGAGGTTTGTCCCGTAGACCAATTTCAAATTTAAATGTTTTATGTTATAAAAAATCGTTATGTAGCAAATCTTCTATCTGCAAAATTGGCATAGATAAAATGTGTGTAGGAATAGATGAAACGTCTTACTTATAGTCTGGATCTTAATATTGCATTTGAAAACCTGTTTTAAGCTGTATATTTGCCCTTTCATGTTGGCTTGTTATTCATATCTCTTTTCTCTTGTTGTAAGGTCAAATTACCCAAACCTCTTCTTTGTTGTTGTTGTTGTCCCCCCACCCCCTTTCCAAATTTTGCATCTAACTCAGTTGCAATTTGTTTTTCCTTAACATTCACATAAAACTACTTCAGTTGAGGTCACAATTTTTTTTTTGTTTTGTGATAATGAGCAGATTGACTTATCCTATTATGATTTATTTGGAAGCCTTAAACTAGTTTTACTGAACTGCAACAAGCTTCCTGCTAGACAAGAAGTAAGTTTCTTATTCTGAGTCTATTGTTTCTTTATGGTTTAATTAGTTGAAATGAATGACAAATGTTCTTTATGGTACAGGCATTAAAAGAAGCCTTGGTGGAAATATTCAGTTGTTCGAAGGTAGTATAGATGGCTGTGCTAGAGTTAACATGAAGAAGTCTTGTTTAATTACTGAAAATTTTATGTCAAGAAAATGTATTACAACATTTTGTCTTCTTGTTTCGCAGCATGATGATGTCTATTCTTGGGTTAAAAGTGCCACATTTGGAGAGGTACTATCATTTTAAATCAGTACATCTTTCCGTCTTGTTTGCTTCCAAATGTTTAACAAACAAATCTCTATGCTAAAATTGGTATTTTGTACTTTTCTCTTATCTGGTAAGAAGTATATATTCCTAAAATGCATCAGTTATAATGAGCTTTGCTGCATTTTCCTGTGCAATTCATTGTATTAAATGGAACCTAGGAAAATATTGTATTTCATGTGACTAATTAACCCCAACATAGACTCAGAATGTACATAGTTTTCATGACAGACATGTAAGTAGAAAGGTCTTTTTTATTTTTATTTTTAGTAATAATGACTATTCTTCTTTAAACACAAGTACAACAGATTGATCAGAGCCTAGTTATCAAATAAATGGCCCACTTGGATGGTTTAACTAAAATTGATGTTCCTCTGTCCCAAGAGAGATAATAGGAATGTCAAGAGAGCTTCTTGAAAGTTACACATAGTATTAAACCACGCATGTTTCTTTAACTGTTTCAAATGTTCTGGTCAACTTTCTTATGAACTAGATTGTTGGTAGACTAAAGTGTGACTAGTAGATGTTAACATAAGGGGAAGAACCTTTGGAAGAGAGCGTAAGCAAACTTAATTGGTGTGTTTCAGCTCTCCATGGCAATGCAGAAGAATAATGTATCTGTGTGAGCCTTGTTTTGTCGGTTTGTTTTATACACTTTTCAGACCAGATTCTCAGTAAGTTGTGAAGAGAGATTGCATTTATCTGGTTATAACAACAACAATTTTTTAATCATCTGGTAAAATCATAAATTGCATGATTCAAGGATTTCATGTCATATTTGAACTCCCTCTGCACCTAAAAATTTATGCCTACTTGCGTATATTCTTGTTCTGGCCTGAGCGATGCAGTTATTTGTGTCTCTCTTGAGAAGAATTTCCTTTCAAATTTTTTCCCACTATACATCAAGGGAAATTCATGAGTTATAATCAACTGAAGAAATAAAATGCCTAGAAACTCATGAATTGAAATGAAGTGTTAGAAGTAGGCATCATCATGCATAATCATGTATGCTGTGTGACTTGTGTGGAGATAAAGTATATAATTATGAATATTACGGATTTGAAATACTTGAACATAAAAGGGCTTTCTCAGGAATGATATCTGTTTGGCATTCCTTACTATAATTAAATTGATTGAGCTTTCACTGCATCCATGAGAATTTCGGCTTCACATCATATTATCTACTAGTTGTGCCCACACCCAGAGTTCATTATTTCAGCCACCTGCCTTTTGTATTTAACTTACTTTACTGTGTTTATTGTTGATTTATGATTCAGGAAGCATCCTGCTCTACACTTATTGCTGAAAAGTTTCTGCTTACCACCCCAGAGATATTGGCTGGGCAAAGATTCAGCCGACTTCTGGTAGCAACTACTATATGCTTTAATAATTGAGCATCCCTGCTGAGTTTTATTTAAGAAACTTGTTGCTCAAGCATCGTTTTAGGAGTATTTGTTGGAATGCAGAATGTTTGATATTTATTCTTTTACTCTCTTTTATACAATTGTCAAATATCCGCTCATATTTTTTACCTAGTTACTGTTCTGGATAATTGTTTGATTACAAATGCTTAGGCTGCAATGACAATATTAGGTATCCTTTTAATTTTTCTTGAACCAAAACGTGAAAAGCAGTGACCTATGTTCAGTAACAATTTATTTCATACGTGAGTTTTCTTAACCATTTACTCAGGGTCTAAAAGTGATTTACTTCATCTCCGCTGTAAACTTCAGATGCAGAAATTGGGTATTTTGTAGCCATGACATACATCCATTTTGTGATGATATGCTTATAACTGAAACCATGCTTGCTTACTTCTCCCCAACCAAAACAGTTTGGCCATTAGTTTTACTCATCTTGTTTACTGATGGACTTTTTAGCTGGTAAATAGGAAATATTGAGTTTAAAGGTTTGTTATGCCTCTAATTCCTTTGCTTTGGTCTCTGTGATGCAGCTAGCCGGCATCCTTATGGATACTGGGAATTTGAGAAGTCCTCTTTCCACTTCCAAAGACAACTACATGGCAACCTTGTTGATTAATGGGGCCGGTCGATATGGTTGCAATGGGCTTTACCAGATCTGTATGCTCTAAACTTCCTTGGCTCTACTTCAAATAATATTTCTTTACCTCATTCCTTTATATTTTTAATTTATTTGTATACATAAAAAATGCAAAGGGCTAAAGTTTGTTTTAATTTTTATGATTTCCAGTGAGATACAAAATGTATGATGTACCTGAACTGAGCATTGGGGAAATCCTGCAGAAAGATATCAAAAAATGGACAAAAATAGGTTTGGTTATTTCATGTGCTTCTCTACTGCCATTAACTTGTGAAGTATAGTATTTTAACTCTGTTTCTGTTCATTGACTGTATGAATGTGGTAATATGAAAAGAAGATGAGATGGTATCCTCTTCACATGCAATGTGGTACCTATTAAGAGATACCATTGTATATTATGAGTACCAAGTTTGTAAATGTATCAAGTTGAGATTGGAGATAACAATTTACTGACCTCACAATGCATCATTTACTAAACAAAGCTCTTGTCCTCCATGTTTGAAGGAGCTCGCCTGATACAAAAAGACAGTGTTAGTTGGCTATGGTCTATCAATAGCAAACGTGTGTAGAGCCTCAAAAGCATGCTAAACATGTGTAAAGCCTCAAATATTAACACATGCATTGTATTTTCAACTGAAAAGCTCAAATTATTCATCTTAAAAGTCTTTGTTAAATATTTATTTTCTAGAGATTGAGATTCTATAAACTTTAATTATTTTTGGGTTTTAAGCTGTCAAAAATATTTAGTAATGTACCATTTATGTCATCGTAACTTAATATTACTACATTTGCAACTCAGCATCTTTGGCTCCAATTTTGAGTTTTAACATGAATCTATAACTGATTTGGACAAGTTCTTGCATTGGCATCTTATGTTGGCAGATTCGATGCTCAGATTATAGTGTTTGAACATTTGCAATATCATCTTGGAGCAACAACTGAGTTTGTTTATCTGAATGTTTACCAATGAACTCTTTTGAGTTAAGAGAAGGTTTTAACTACTCATAGATACTTTCACAGTTCAGCTTCAGAAGCATTTCCTACAAATTGGAAATCTTCTCGAGTTTGATAGATGATTCCTACCCGTAATCATGATGTATGAGTAATCCTCCATGTGATCTTTAAGTTTTCCTCCTCTTTTTTTGTTCTTTTTCTCTTTTTTTTTTCCCTAATTCTACTGCAGAGTTTTTCTGTTCAACCGTTAGATTCTGCCCAAATACAATTCCCTTCAGCCGTAATGTTTAAGTATTTTGACATTCAAAGCTATTAACATCTTAAAAGATCCGGCATGGGTCAGCACATCCCTCCTGACTAATTTTAACTGCATAAAGGTATTGGGTGTGGTTTCAGAGTTCCTTACATGTTCCATTTTGGATTCATAAAATTTTTTACATTAAACTCCATTTGTAGACTTCACTGCATCAACTCAGGACGCGATGAGCAAACTTAGGAAACTTTGTCTGGGAAAGACTGTGTATAGCTAATTCTTTCTTGCAATAGTACCTTTTAGCTGGAAAGTATATGAAATAGGCCTCAGATTGCAATATTAGCTTGAATCCCTTAAATTGTCAATAATAATGTCTTGCAGTCTTGGATACGTGGGCTAGAATATTGTAAATAGAAGACAGGTGTTTTGCAATGTTTTATGGGATGAAATTGGGAAATTTAGAATCACGTTTAACACAATATTAATAGGGTAGTGGTTTATTCATAATCATATGAATTGTTTGATACGAATACATTTATGGACACTAATTTCCTAGTCAGATACTTAGGGGTTCAGAGATTTTGAAGACTATTCTCCAGCTCTAATACTTCCCCATCCCCCTCTCTCTTTCTGGCCTCTCCCCCTAATGGTACATAAGGCTTGTTTATGTCAATTAATTGAGGCACTATACAAAGAACAAAATTTACTTTCCTTTGGATAATAACTTTTAATTATAGGAATTAGATAATTGGTTTCTTGAATATTCTTCACTAATAAAAAAAATGAAAAATAAGCCGATGCGGCTGCAGTCTAAGGTCTTGTATTATACAGGCCTCAATATACAGTTTCCTGGAGGACTTCTGTTCTTCCAGATAAACTAAAAAATGCTTCAAATTGCTGCTTTTGAAATTTGAGAAGCCAAGTTAGGGTTCTTGAAATGACCAAATACGTAAATGAGTCCTTTTGTTGGAATGCCAAGGCCACAGAAAGTTATTAGGGCATCTTTGCTTCCCTAGCTTTAACCAATATGAAGCATATATTTTCCACTGGATAAAAAGAGTAAACATTCCTGAAGTTATGTTAAGAGTACAGCTGACTAAGCTGTATAACTAATTCACCTGTCTGGTGAATTCTTGTTGCATAATTCATTAATTTATGCTACTATGCATATTTGGCTTCCTAGGTTCCTGCTTTCAATAGACTTGTACATATCATTTAACCATAAAATTCTGTTGAAGCAGGTAAACTAATCAGTGGTAACTCTAGATTGACGGTGTTAAACATTGGGATGAGTTCAATTGGAATATCAATTGCACAGCTCCTTTCACTTGATTCAACTTCAAATCTGGAGATTTCACATTTTCAGCGTAAGATTTGGCCTCATTTTGTACTAGATTCAGAACCTGTTTAGTTGTTACAAGCTTTTGATTAATCCCCCTTTCCAATTTTTTCAGCCAATTGTTAATCAAAATTTTTTATTGCCCTGTGCTTATCATCATTCAATTGTTGTTTAGTACTTTTTAACCATTTTTCCCTTGATGTGCTTTGTCCAATTTTCTTGATATCCATTACCCAAACTTAGCAATTTGCATGTCCATATTTCTTGTAATATTGACCATTCAATCAGCTATTTGCACTTCTAGCGTTGGGATTGCTTCTGGGGAATGGCATATAATAAATGTTCCTCTGGTGTTTCTGTTCTTATCACTGCATCTATCTGATGATCTGCAGCACCTATGTTAGATAGCTAAAGAAAGAATTTACAAGACGTCTTGAAATTGAAACCCTATTTATTGTGTATCATCTTTCCTGTTACAACATTGAAACTTGAGATACTCATGGTCAACTGAGTAAATGCGTCACTCTAGAAATAGTAAAGCTTTTTAAGTTTTTTGAATCATCACGATCTCTTTCTTAACTGCAGGCTTGGAGAAACTTTCCCTCCTTCTAATTGTTTCTGGATATTATGATGCTGAGAAGAACTTTAAGGTTGGAGTAGTGTTTTTCTGCATTTTCTTTTATGCCTCCTACTAGATCATGTTGCACGCATCGCAGGCATTTAGCAAATATGGCTTGCATCAAGGTAGGCCACGACTTGTGCCTACTTTGGAGGGAGATATTTCTGCTGACATCACGTAACTCCTTTTTTTTTTGGCTTCAAGACAAATGAAAAGAAATGACAGGAACTCAGGAAGTGACAACCTTCTAGACATATGGAGTTGTTAGTTGTTGGAGACCTTCTGAAATTTTTATGCATGATTTCTAGATGGTCTTACTGTGTTTTCAATTGTTGTAATGATACCTTTTTGCCGATGGATGTACTGAGTTCTTGAATTTTTCTGCAATTCAGAGGGAAATCCTGGTCTCTGCTGAATCAGTTGAACTCTTGAAAAACCTGATCCAATTTATGAAATCAAGTGCTCCTGACCTACCGCTCAAAATTTTGCATCATCCAGGTGAGTTTGCTGATGTGGATCTGATTAGTACTCAACTAAGAGTAATATGCACTACAAAACATTAGCATACTACCAACATGTGTGGAAGTGTATCCGGTACCAACTATACAAGATTTTCAAGTTTCCACTCACAGTGTCTTTAAGCAAACTTGATTCCGTGATGAATATTTTGAGAACCTGCATATTGTCTAGACTTGATATCATATACAGTAAGTGTCAAATATTTTGAGAACCTGCATTTGTGCTTTTATCGTACTGTGTAAGCAGACAAGAGGATTAGGCTAAAACATATCGGACTTGGTTGGAATAGAAAGCTAACATTGATAACATTGTTACCTTCTATTGCTAATAGTTTTGCTTTCCTTTGGCAGGAAAATCTGTGCCAGTCAGTGTGCCCACCTTTATTTTCCTATTTTTCATTCTGTCCAATCTCAAAATCCTGTTACTTTATCTTTAAATGCACTCTATTTTGAAACATAGAAGTAGCTTGGGGATCCTGTGCATCAAAACGCACCTCACCTCATATGAAATTGGCTTCATACTTCTCCATGTTAATTCATATGAGGATACAGTATAAGAGATCCAAACAAGTCAAATTTGGGGGGTGCTTGCCTAATATCATGTTATGCAGCTGCACAAGTAACTGAGGAAGCCAACTTTTCCTAATAGCTTTAGCATAATGGAAGTGAATATTATCCATGCCATAGTGCTATAACTAAAGCAAGCCAAACTCTCATACTCCCACAATCACTTGTTACAAATTAGAAATGATCTTGCAGTCCACTCATTGCCTGTCTCCGAAAGTTGGATAAGCATAGTTAGGTATGCGTCGTCCATTTTACTTTCTGCATTGAATGAGATCTTTATCTTATGGCTGTGCAGATCTACGAGAGGAGATGAAAGCATTTGAAGTTGACAGAGTCACATCTCGCAAGACGATTGAGCGACTCTTGGAAGAATATATTGAGGTTTCAAATTGACCAAAGATTTATGCCTGATCTACACTGGTGCCAAACATCTAGGTACAGAAATTTCAAATTTGCTTGGCCACAATCTCTTGCAGGAAGTTTAAGCAGCTTACAACCCCAGCCACCCCTTTTCTCTGTCAGTATTTTGTCCCTGTAAAGACTTATTCACACATTTGATATTGGAGAAAATTCTTAAATTGTTATGAAAAAAAAAGTTGTTCTATAAGAGGGGTTATTTTTTAAGGTAATTCTAAGATTAGGATCTTCGCATTTGTAAAATGCGAGTTCAATGACTTCGCATTTTAGAAATGCAAGTTAGTGATTTCAGGAAAAAAAATTTTAAAGTTTTTGGGAAAAAAAAAAAAAAAAAGACACAAAGCTCACATTTGTAAAATGCGAGCTTTGTGACCTATCTTCCCAAAACAGAGTAACTCCAAAGAGTGGGACAGACCGGGAGAGTAAAAGAACAGAGCCGCACCTCCAAGAGTGAAACCGCTACAAAGTGAAAAGGCAGCGGCGAGAGTCAGTTAGAGCTGTTAAACGAACCACACTGTTCGGTAGCTCGCGACGCGTTCGTATTCGTGAAAGACTCGTTCGAAACTTTAAATGAATCGAGTTCGAATGAATTATTTTGTTCGATTAATAATCTAGTGAACATGAGCATGTTTGCGAGTTTGAACGTTCAATCTAGCGAACACGAGCATGTTTGCAAGTTTTAATGAACGTTCGCGAACAAGAACATAATTATCATTTGACAAATTTAAGGTTAATTTTATGGCTAGACTTATATATTTGGAGGGTTTTATTTGTTATTTTTATGTTAATGTTAGTTATATAGTTAATGAATAATAGAATTTAGTCACTTAGTGCTTTAATTGTTTTTTAAAATGATTAATGATTTGTATGACATATTTAAGAATTAAAATAATTTGGATTTGAGCATTTCAAGCATATTCGCGAACGGCTCATTTATGTTAAACGAGTCGAACACGAATTCGAACTCGAACATGAACTTTGTTTAACGAGTCGAATACGAACACAGGTCTGGAGTTCAAAAATTAATGAACGAACACGAACGTTGTTTGAATCGTTTAACGAACAAAGTTCAAACATGAGATACTCGATTCGATTCGACTCGTTTACAGCTCTAGGCGAGACCCAACAGTGGCAAAAGCATTTCACCTTCTTCCATTCTTTTTGTTTCAGAAGTTTCCTCGTCCCCTCAATGAATGCATAAATAATTATTTTTTAAAAAATAAGATTTTACTAAAAATTGCATTTAGTAAAGGAGAGATCTGCAAAACAAATATTTTTTAAATTAAATTCTCTAGGAGCTTGCATTTAGTACTCTAAGAAAACAAATATTTTTTAAATTTAATTTTGTAGGAGCTCGCTAGAAGAAAACAAATATTATTTAAATTTAATTTTTTAGGACCTCGCATTTAGTAAATGACAATATACGAAGTGGTCAAAAAGAGCAAAATGATCACACTTACAATAAATATTTAAAAAATATTTATTTTCTTTGACAGAACAAATATTTTTTATTTCATGATAGCTCTAACATTAAAAAAAAAATTTTTTTGAGAGCTCGCTTTTAGCAAAATGGCTTGCACCAATTATAGTAATGGTCAATTTTTAGAATCTCCTAACTGGTTTCAAAAGTGGACGTTCTCTAGAGGAACTACTAATGCTGGTTAAGAACTCCCACAAAGAACATAAAACACAGCAAACGAGGAGAAAACAAACTGAGAGGTCTACGACCATAAAATTTTAGCGGTTCTACTTCTTAACACAAGTTCCTTTTAGTAAATACCAAAGCTTTCAAGTTGTTGCGAGGTCTGGTTTTCTTTTTTTTTTTTTTTGGACTTTGTGGGTCTAAAATTCAAAGCGACTTCGCATTCAGCAAATGCGAGCTCCCTCTTGGACGGAATACCATACTCAAAATGCCCCATTTGCAGAAATTTTTTAAAATTCATCGTCATTTTAGAAATTTCTCTTTGATATTGTCAATGATGTATAGCACCTATAGATAACCTCTCTTCACTGAAAAAGGTTTATGAGCCTTCAGCTACCGGATATGAGATAATTTTGTCTTTGCTAAAGGGAAAAAAAAAAAATCAATTGACTTAAAATGTGTGTGTGTTTCTTTTTGCCTATGAGAACTTCTATTTTTGACATGTAATAATTTCAATCCAAGCTCTTCATAGGATATGCCATAAGGTATATATATCTGCATCTTCTTTAAAGGGCATTTTAGGACAAGAACAGCATATTTTCAGGACTCAGGTTCCATACATCAAGGAATCTGAGTGTTTGTGAATGTGGCAGTTTTCTATTTTTGAGTCATCTAACAACATGATAAGGATTCTGCAGGTTGTCCATACTCTTATACATAACTTTAGCACTATAATTTGCATCTCGAAGAAGCGTAATTTTTAGGAATTTTTTATTTATGCCACTTAATTTTGTCGTTCTTTTTGTGAATATTCTTTTCTAGGAGAAAGTATATACTACAGTTGTTATCTTCTTGAATATTCCTTCCTTGTTAGGACATCATTCCGTCTATAACTTTTGAGGGTTTGCATGCTCTCAATGTTTAAAACAAGTCAATTTTCCTCCAAATAATATGTGATATTCAAGATTAAACCTACTTTCAGGGAAAAAAAAGGAAGGTCAAATTATAAGATTGGAAAAAAAAAAAAGAGGGCAAACTGTTCAACACAACTAGTTCTTAAGTCATCAATAATCCATGTAAGTCTGAAAATTTAAAAAGATTTTGCAAGTTAAAGAAACCTTGGAGGGTATGCCTAATTCATGCAATTTGGAGATCATTTTTCACTCCTCCAAACTAGCTTTTGGCAAGTCTTAACTCATTTACTAGGCTAATTTCTCAGAATATTCATGATTTGAAAAAAAATTCGGCCAACTCTGACTCTGACACGGGGTTTTCTCCCTCTATGCCGATGATCCTGACAAGGCACGACGGAATTCAACACCTTGAAACTCCATTTAACTGGTGAAATTTCTAAAAATTATGTTCCTAAAAGATCTTTATCACTTTATTACTTTTGCACTTTCACTACAAACATAAATAATTATTATAGTCCTTAAGACTTATGAAAAAAATGTAATTTTTGTCCTTAATATTTAGCATTTGAAGTTTAGTCCCTAATGAAGTTATACAAGTTATTTGTAATAACTAACAATGTGATAAATTTTTAAGTAGTCGTTTCTTTGCAAATTATTTTTTAGTTGTGTCATAAATACGTTTTTCAATCTTTCGTATCACCTAATAAACATCACACCATAGAAATAGTGTTATATTATTCTATAAAATTTTTCTAAAGAATTTTCTATCCTAGAAGACCCATATTTGTAAACCATTTTTATATATTCTCTGCAATCACAATAATGATTGCAGAAATAATTTATGGTGAAAATGAATAAAATTGAAATTGGACGGTTAGGATTGAGTTTTGGATACAAATTTTGTTTTGTTTTTGTACGTTGTTATCACAGTGTGCGTATGTCTTTATACACACATATTTTGGCATATATATTGCCTACTTCTTTTTTTTTTTTTTTGTTATATGATCACGTGTGGTATCCCGAATCACCAACTAATCCACACGTGTCACACACCAACCTACCCAAACCGTGTGTGTTGTTTCATCGGGGATTCAATCCTTAGTAGTGGTATTCACCTAACTAGTGTTACGAGGTGTCTACTTACACTAGCAAACCACGCACGTAATGGCACTGGTAAGCCACACTACCAGTTAGCCTACACAAACACATTTACACATAAGTATTCAAAACATAGAACACTCAGGCAAAACAAGGGAACACACGCACAAGTTACAGCCAACACGGTCAACCTTGTATTTCGCAATGAAGCTTACAATGACAATTCTACAAACACTTGGCGTGCAAAATATTTAAGGGTGATTTTCATTATCTGAGACTCTCCTCTCTTAATCTCTGCCTAACTCGTTATTTATAGGTATATTTACGGTTGACAAGACCCAACCGTTGGTTATTTATAGGCATGTTTACAATTGATAAGACCCAACTGTTGGTCTGATCTGAACGTCCACGAAATCAGGAACTCGCTAAGAACAAGGCTGAGTTGGCTGGTAACCGCCAGCAACTCCCAGCAACTACCAGCAATGGTCAGCAACTGCCCAACGTTCATCTTTGACGAGCACGGGCAATGGCCGCACACTTCCGTGCGCCCAGCTTCCTGCCATCGGCAACGTTCTGCACCCAATTTGCCCCAACACTTAGCAACTTATACACCGTGGTTCCTAACAATTGAAACAACTCGAAACAACCCACTGAGCCATAGTCATTCCGTGCCCTTGGATTTGACTTGACATAGTCACAGTTATCCCTCTATATATATGTCCTAGAGAAAAACTTAGGACTGTTAGTAGAAGTACCCTTTTTTCCCCTTCTAACTTAGAGACATTTGCTGCCTCTAAAACTTTCCCCCAACCCATACTTAGACTAAGAAAACATCATCAAACAGTTATTCACTCGTTTCTAACTAGGTTCACTTTCGGCCTTTCCACCTAGGTCATGCCCGGTCGAAATCTGCCACGATCACGCCTGTTCCATCTGGACCGCACCCTAAGGGACTGATACTAGGCTACTACCATCAGACTAAAGTCCCGGAGGCTTATATATTGCTTACTTCTATTGTGTACAGTGCAATGATCCAATTTGTCCATGGTTCACTTTTATGCCTTTGTTGCCTAGGGATGCCTACTCCCTTGCCATTTGGATCAAGAACTTTTACAATTGCCTACGGCAATTTTGGCCTGCAACATAGATACTATCAGAATAATATACAAGAAGTTTGTATAGAGTTACAAAATATTCAAGAAAATGTTATACCATTTAATTAAACGGTTATCAGATCGACCGTACTGCCTCGCGTCCATTGCTGGCGCCTGAGCCGCACGTGCAATGCTGATGCTCCAGTCGCTCTCCCCAGTATGTCGCAACGTGTCCTTTTCAAACTTCCCAACTCGGCAGCACCATTGACTCCAAATTCAATACTCTTCCATAGTTCCATGACGAATCTCCACAACGGCCTTTCCAAAATTTCCTCCCACCAGCCACCTCTCCCTCCATTTCCCACAAACGAACCCGCCACCCTGAGAAAAATCCCAAGAAAAAGCACCTCTTTACCCCCAATAAT